AAAAAAAAACAATCAAGGAAAACCCTGACAGAGCTGGGGAAGGCCACGAAGAGAGGGTACTCATGCTTGTATGCCTGATAAGAAAACTGCTATAAAAGACCCTCCAAGAACCACGACTTGCACTATGCTCTCACAATTTAAAAAAAAAAAAAAAGACACTTTTGCAAGAACAATTGACCAGTAACTGCTTGTCCAAATTTAGACTGGTAGTCGTTATTGATCTTTGTAGCCAAGGATCTCAGACATAATTGTATAAAACTTCTTATTTTTCATTTAAAAACCTTTGTCTTCCTTTATCTCCTGAATACGCACATAGTTTATGTATTTCGATTCCTGTGCCCTATGGCATAGTTTGGTTGTTTGTCCTCTCCAAGTCTCATGTTCCGATTTGATCCCCATTGTTAGAGGTGAGTCCCAATGGGAGATGTTTGGGTCATGAGGGCAGATCCCTCATAAATGTCTGGGTGCCCTCAAACCTGGTAATTGTTTAAAAGAGCATGGTACCTCCTGCCCCTCTCTAACCATATGACATACCTGATCCCCTTTCATCTTCCACCATGATTATGAGCTTTCTGAGACCCTCACCAGAAGCAGTTCTGGTGCCATACTTCTTGTACAGCCTGAAGAACCATAAGCCAAATAAACATTTTTTCTTTATATACTACCCAGCCTCGGGTATTCCTTTACAGCAAAGCAAAATGGACTAAGACAGTTCTTGCTGTAAACGTACCTGAAAATGTGGAAGAGGCTTTGGGATTAGGTAATGGGCAGGGGTTGGAAGAGTGTGAAGGTGCAGAAGAAATCAGGAAGACAAGGGAAAGTTTGAAACTCCTTAGAAACTGGGTAAGTGGTTGTCACCAAAATGCTGATAGAAATCTGGATAGTAAAGTATAGGCTGACCAGGAATCAGATGGAAATGAGGAACTATTGGAAACTGGAACAAAGGTCACCCTTGTTCCACCTCAGCAAAGAACTTAGCTATATTGTGCCCATGCCCTATGACTTTGTGAATAGCTGAACTTAAGAGTGATGACCTGGTAAAAGAAATTCCTAAGCAGCAAAGTGTTCCAGAAGTGCAACTGCTTCTAGCGGCCTAGATGGGAGCAAAGGAATGACTTAAAGTTGGAACTTAAAATTAAAAGGGAAGTGGCTTGGCACCTGTGGCTCAAGCGGCTAAGGCGTCGGCCACATACACCTAAGATGGCGGGTTTGAATCCCCAGCCCGGGCCCGCCAAGCAACAATGATGGCTGCAACCAAAAAATGGCCAGGCGTTGTGGCGGGCGCCTATAGTCCCAGCTACTTGGGAGGCTGAGGCAGGAGACTCGCTTGAGCCCAGGAGTTGGAGGTTGCTGTGAGCGTGATGCCATGGCACTCTACCCAGGGGGATAGCTTGAGGCTCCGTCTCAAAAAAAAAAAAAAATTAAAAGGGAAGTAAAGCCTAAAACCTTGGAAAATTCATAGCCTGTCCATGTGGTAGAGTAGAGAACAGAGTTTTCAGGCAAGGAATTCAAGTAGGCTGCATAGAGTAACAAAGAATAGCCAGATTAAAAGGGAACCAGGTGCTAATAATCAAGTCAATGGAGGAAGAGTCCCCAAAGGCAGGTCAGAAATCTTCCAAGCCATCCCTCCTATCCCAGTCTGAGAGGCACAGGAGGAGAGATGGTTTCCAGGGGTGATTATCAAGGGAGCCAAAGCCCTGAGTCACCTCAGAATGCTGCTCCCCAAATCCTAGCTACTCCGGCTCCAGGTCTGGCACAAGGGCCCCAGGTGCATCTCGGGCAGCTGCTTCAAATGGCACAAGCTATAAGCCTTGGCAGCGTTTATGCATGTTAACTCAACAAGTTACAGAATGCATGAGAAAGGGCGGAGGCTTCACAGCTTCCACCTAGATTCCAAAGGATGTACTGGGAAGCTGGGAGCCTAGGCAGCTCTGCCCCAACAGAGAACTCTACTAGAATGTCAAAGGTAAATGTGCGGTTGGAATCCCTACACGGTCTCCACATGGGCACTACCTAGCAGAGCTGTGGGAAGGGGACTGTCTGTCACTCTCCATACACCAGAATGGTGAGGCCACCTACCATAATGTACACCCTGAGCCTGGAGACACTGCAGGCATTCATTCCAACTATGATAGCAGCCACATGGGCTGTGCCCAGCAAAGCCATTAGGAATGGGGCTGCCCAAGGTTTCAGGGGCCCAGCACTCATACCAGTGCAGCCAAGATGCCATACATAGAGTCAAGGGAGGTCATTTGGAGCTTTAAGGTTTAATGGCTTTCAGGGGACCTGAAGAATGGTTCCTCTGTTTACAACACACCCGACAGGAATCTAGGGTCATTGAAACAAAGGTGGCCCAAAACCTGTGGCCTCCTGTAAACAGATGCCCTACATGTGAAGAAGGAAAAAAAATTAAAAAAAAAAAAAGATTTAATGGCTTCCATGCTGGGTTTCAGACTTGTGTGGGGCCTGTTGCCCCTTTCCTTTGGCCAATTTCTCCCTTTTGGAATGGGAATGTTTACCCCATGTCTATTCTGCCACTGTGTCTTAGAAGTAAATAACTCGTTTTTGATCGTACAGGCCCTTGGGTGGCAGAAACTTGCCTTAGGTCTCAGATAAGACTTCGGACTTTGAATATTTAAGTTGATGCTGGAAGGAATTAAGAGTAAGACTTTTGGGAACTGTTGGAAAGGAGTAATCCTATTTTGTAAGACATGAGATTTGAAGGGCCAGAAGCAGAATGATATATTTGGAGTATTTATCCCCTCCAAATTTCATGTTGAAATTTGTCCCAATGTTGAAGGTGGGGCCTAGTGGGAGGTGTTTAGGTCATGGGGACAAATAACTCAGGAATAGCTTGGTGCCCTCCAAGTCAATTCTCATTGTATTAGTTTCCGGCTTGCACTTTCTTGCTTCCTGTCATGCCATGTGATGTATGCTCCTCTTCACCTTCTGCCATGAGTGGAAGCTCCCTGAAGCCCTCACCAGAAGCAGACACTGGCACTTTTTCAATAATTCAGTGATAATGCACAGTGTATGGAGGGCTTGTATATTACAGCAATTCCTGAGTCTAACAGCTTTATGATCTAGCTCCATGTTGAAGTTTTATAATACTAGTACACAGAGCTTTAATGAAATACCATCAATCAGTTTGTTCCAGGTATGCACAAAATTTCTGTTGAAATTCTTATCGTACCCACCTTTTTGCAGTGGATATCTATGGTTCAATTTGCCCAGCAAATCTCTCTTCTTACAAGAACATCTTCCCTCTTTTGAGGGGGAACTGTTTCTCCCTCAATTCCAACAGGCAGTTCTAATCCAGTCTGCCAAACACCATCCCTCCACCATAGTAGTAAGCACACATCCAGGCAATTATAGCTCCTTCCAGATTTTATCAAATTGGATTTGAGAAGAGTTCACTCCCTCTCCCAGTAAGAAGCTGAGAGCTGCCAAATTTCTAGACTCACAGAACTGGTGTGTCTGAGAAAATGAAGTTAAGAACTGAGATGAGAGACAAGAGACATCTTGTTAGTGGCCAGGTGGCTAGCGTCATATACATCCCTGCTCTGTCTCATTTTGGTTTGGTGAGCCAATAAATTCCTATTTTGCCTGGCACCTTGCAACTCCAATCCTGGCATCCATCTATCATCTTCTTGAAAATTCACCTAGACCTCTTATTCAATTTAAAACTCTCTGTCAAATCTCATTTCTCATCCATTAACATAATGTCCTTTTCTAAATTATTGTTATACCAGTAGCTCCCATCTATTTTTTTTTACCAGAAAAAATATAGTAGGTGCCAAAAATATAAGAAAGGAAAAACCTACCCAGCGTAGTGGCTCATGCCTGTAATCCTAGCACTTTGGGAGGTAGAGGCAGGTGGATCCCTTGAGCTCAGAAGTTCAAGACCAGCCTAAGCAAATGAGACACCGGTCTCTAAAAAGAACCGTGTGTTGTGGTGGGCACCTGTAGTTCCAGCTATTCTGGAGGCTGAGGCAAGAGGATTGCTTGAGCCCAAGTTTGAGGTTGCTGTGAGCAATGACAGGACAGCACTCTACTGGGAGCAACATAGTGAGACTCTGTCTCAAAAAAAAAAAGGAAAAACCTGTATTAAAATTGTAATACTCGCATTACGTTTCACTTCTGTGATTACAAGAGATACAAGATACAATATACAAGATAGCAAACATTATTGGATTATACTGAGTGTTACAATTTTAATACAGTTTTTTCCATTCTTAAAATGTGTAACATTTTTGGGGACCCTCTGTATTAAGCATCTGCCATGAGCAAGGTAATGAAGACACAGTGACAACTAAGACTCTAGGTGAATACCATTAAACTATATGTCTTAGCAAAATTAATGTGAAACTACTGCAAGTAATTTGGATCATAAGTAGTCAAGCTATGACCTAAATCTCATCTAATTCTCACCAAAGCCTGTTAGAAAGCTCAGAGAGGGTCAGTAATTATTACAAGCCTCTAGAGCTAATATACAGTGGAATCAAAACTTCAACCTAGGTTTTTGACTAAATCAGTTTCAATTATCCTGTGTTGTTTAAACTGAGAAAACATATATGGATCTCTACGATTTTAAAGAATAATTTCCAATTCTCACTTTCCATCAGATTCCAATTTTCTACAAATTTGCAACCTGATGTACGGGCGGTTACAGAACTTTAATAGCTAAACAGAAACATAATTAGGTCATTAAGCAACCGAGAAATGCAGCTTTCCAACGCGGCGAAGAGGAGGAGCGCGCGGGAGTTAAAGAGCGTCCCTCCGTGTGCGCAAGGCGCCTTGGGAGTTGTAGTCCGAGATCGAGTCCTGCCGCCAGAGGCGCTAACTCACTGGGACCCAATCAGCGGAGAATCAACTTGCTCTCCGCGCAGCGATTGGCTGGAAGTCAGCGGCCGCCCGCCCCACGGCGCCGTCGCGCTGTCTCCAGTCAAGGCACTGGGAGCCGGGCGGAGTGTGGCTGTCTAGTCTGTTCCTGAAGCCCCGGGTCGGTGATACAGCAGTCCTGCAATGGCAGAACCACAGCCCGCCTCCGGCGGCCTCACAGACGAGGCCGCTCTCAGTTGCTGCTCCGACGCGGACCCCAGCACCAAGGTGGGCGCAGGACCTTATTCTCCCGTGTCAGGGCCTCTCGCGGGGCGGCTGTGGTCCCGGGAGGGACCCCGGGACTCAGCCCCATCCGGCCGCTCTGCAGGTTCACCGGCCTTGGGCGGACGGGAATGGGCTGGGAAGAGGGCCAGCGGTGTCCCATGGGGTGATCTATGGGGGCTGGAAAGAATGGTAGTTTCAAAGACTGACTATTTAAATTAACACGTTTATGTGGAGACGCTAGCTGAAAGCCAAGCCATCCCAGGATTGGGTTCCTTGTCTGAGTGTGCGTGTTCCACAGGTCAATTTCCAAGACCCATGAGAAAAGCAGTTTCAGAATTCCCAGTCATAGTTCAAAGTTCCCTGCGCACGCCTGCCCCGCACAGCCTAAATCACTTTCCGTTACCACCCTAACTCCGGGATTAACTCCTCCAAAGTAGTTTGCACGAAGTTTAACTGCACCAGAATTTCGCTTTTGCTTGGCTGTTGCTCAAGACCACATCTCTTCTCTCCCTGTGTGTGGTGGGCCCCAGGAGAGAAGATTACAGAATCATGGAGATTAGACCTGAAAAGAATTAGAAATTTTTTCTCTGACCCTCTCGTTTTACAGTAGTGACCCAGTAAGAGGAATGCCTTGTTGCATATGAAGACTTTTCATTTACCAAACATGTCTGTACTAAGTCAGTGTAACTCACTCAGGTGTGGTCCCTGTAGACACAGGCATAGCAATCGCTGGGGGAGGTTATACCATCGGTAAAGTCATCGGTGTCAGTAAATGCTTTTGTAGTCATACACTTGACTGCATTATTTGTAAATTCCTTGAAGATTGAACAGTGCTTTTTGCAGGACTGGGAGAGGCAGATTGGTGATTAAAGACTTTGATCCTTGCTTTCTCTTTGCCTTGTCAAAACCTTTGACTAGCACCTGGTACTTAGGTTAGGAAAAATATTAGTCACTGCAAAATTAAGAGCAAAGGAAAACAATTCCCACTTACACTCATCTCATTTGTATAGCCTTAATGTTAATACCTAGTTATTTCATGTAAGTTTAATCTTCCAATGTACATTAATTTTTCAAATAACTGGGGATTTTATGTAATGGGCTATTTCTAACAAACATTCTAGGGGGATCTTTATAAAGTATATTAAATATGTATCCATGCATCTTTTTATTTTTTTATTAAATCATAGCTGTGTACATTTATGCAATTATGGGGTACATTGTGCTACTTTTATATACAATTTGACATACTTTCATCAAATTGGTTAACATAGCCTTCACTGTTATTGTGTTAAGATATTTATATTCTACCCTTAGTAAATTTAACATGTACCCTTGTAAAATGCACCGTAGGTGTGGTCCCAGCAATTACTCTTCCTATATCCATACATCTTAATTTACATTCCATGTTATCTAAATTTCTCTTGATGATCTGGAGTCATCATTTTTTGAGATTAGTAATTTTAGCAGTAAAAATACCATGTGGAGACATAAAATGGATTACATAGTAATAAATAACTAGTAAACATTGAGTGTGCCAGGCCCTGGCTTGGTGTTTTAATTCTCACAATAACCTTATGAGGAAGGCATAATTATTATCTCTATTTTACAAATAAGGACATTCAAACACAAAGGTGTTGAATGACTTGTTCAGGGAAGAACCCATACTCCCAACCTCTACCCTATTCTGCTTCTGAGATACTGACTTCAGCATAATTTTGGAGTTTTCCAGGAAGGGAGGGGGAAAAACAATTAATTAAATTCAGTTTGATCACTTGGCACATTTACATTATATATAAAGAACATGGTAGGTACTTCGAAGGATAATTGTATAAACAAAATGACATCCTCGCCACTCACCAAACATACCAGCTCTAATCTATGATGGCCTTGGGATTAATATGCTCTTGAAATTATAAAGCACCCTGGGAGCACAGAGGATGTAGAGGTTTTCAAAGATAGCATCAACAGTGTAGTGTATACATAGGGTATTTGGAGCCTCAAGACCAACCAAGAAGAATCGCTACTTCTGTCATTGACTGCTTGGTTGAGTTTGTAAAAGGAGCATAAAGATATCTTAGAGAGCTGCTATCTGGATGAAGTGAAATGAACTGTGTTATGTTCTCTAAACGCCAAGGAGTGGCACAAGTCAAGGTTGCATTTTGGCTATGGGCATCAGGGCATGCATCAAACAGAAGGTGGTACTGGGCCCATGCCGTGAAAGATGGGTGGGATTCCAGCAGACAGAGTACATGGAAGGATCGAAGGGGTTGAGGAAACATTTTAGCAAAATGGCAGAAAGATGCAATGTAGGCCGTGTCCTGGAGCTGGGTGGGGGGAGGAAACCTGGAGCCATAAGTCTACTTGTGGCCTTCTAGGTCCCAGAGTGTGACCTTTTGATTAAATCCAAATTTTACAAAACAAATCTAGATCTAGAAGACCACAGCTTCCACTCCAATAGGTTTAGTTAAATATTTTTAGTTGAAGTTTAGATTATCAAAACAGCAGTGGAGAAGGCTAACATAGTAGGTTGGGGCTAGATCTTGGAGAGAGCCTTGAATGTCACATCTAAGGAAGTTAGATTTTTATATAGGTAGTGAGAAATGATTCAGGATTTTGAAACATTCTGTAAGGTAGATTGGAGGGCTCCAATTCTGGAGGTGATGAGACCACTTAAAAAGCTCTTCTAGAGGGTGAGATAAACAATGAGGATCTCATTTGGAAAGGAGAGAACAACGGTGGCAAAAAGTATAACTGGTTTATTGATTATTTGCATCTTCCTTATAAAGGAAGACCAAAGAATGTACAGCTTTACCACAGCTTTGGCAATAGTCAGTGGTTCTCAACCTTCCTAATGCTGTAGCCCTTTAATATAATTCCTGTGGGTCGTGACCCACAAGTTGAGAACCGCTATTCTAAGTAGTAATCTGAAGATCATTCCTTTTACTGTCTTTGTTAGTGCTCTTTGAAGATCATTCCTTTTACTGTCTTTGTTAGTGCTCTTTGGTACAGTAGAAAATGTCCTTATGTCCTTAGTGTTGCCGTTATTTCTACAGTACCAATATCTGCTTTCTCATTATTCTATTTATGTGTACAGAAAGGTAGGTTTTTGTGTATTTGTTTTGTTTTTTGGTACAGGGCCCCATCCCCTCTGAGCAGTAAGATATGGGAGTCATGGAAAACTTTCAATGTTGGTAACACTTGAACTGCGTTTTAGGAAATAGGAAGGAAGGACCTGAAAGAGTTAGATGCAGGAGTAGAGGAAGTAGGGAATGAAAAAGGAAGGAAGACAGACAATGGTCAGATGGGTGACTGACTATCCTAGGCTGTTCTCTAGAAAGAATCATACTAAAAGGCACAGTGACATCAGTGAACTGAATCTGATAATATAATGAGAGTGAAGTTATTGGCAATGGGATTAGAAAGGAGGTTGCATAAAACAGTGATTGGGCTACTCAGAGAAAATATGAGAATTCCATTATCCTCATTTGTTTTTCTCACCCTGTAAAGATTTCTATTTGGTAAGTGTATTTTGTAATGTATATGTTATACCAGTATTGTACATGTATATAATTGAAATACTATGTATATGTTTATTGGAGGTACATTTTTATCTTAAGTGCTAAGGGTATAAAATAGAAAATGTTTAAAATGGGTGAGATGCAGTGGCTCATGCCTGTAATCCCAGCACTCTGGGAGGCCAAGGTGGGAGTTCACGAGTTTGAGACCAGCCTGAGCTAGAGCAAGAGCCGGGCATTGCAGCAGTTGCCTGTAGTCCCAGCTACTCGGGAGGCTGAGGCAAGACAATCACTTGAGTCTAGGAGTTTGAGGTTGCTCTGAGCTGTGATGCCACGGCACTCTACCGAGGGTGACAAACTAAGACTTTGTCTCAAAAAAAAAAAAAAAAAAAAGTGTTTGAAATGATCAGATTGGGTAGCAGTAATAAAATATGACGTTAGAAAAGTATACGGCAGCCATATCTGTCTGCTTACTTTGGGGACTTTTTCCCAATTTGTCACAGTCTGACATAGATTGAGTGAGGGAAGCAACACTAGCAGGAAAGAAAAAAAAGTGTATCCCCTCATATTGTACATCAACCATGTACTCCAATTGTCACATGCATCTTAATTTACACAGTAAAATAATCTTGTTCCCCTCAGGATAGACTGAAGTAGTTGAAAAGATTTTTTTGTTTTGTTTGGGTTTTTTTTGTTGCCCTAGGTAGAGTGCCATGGTGTTATCACAGCTCACAACAACCTTGCCTCAGCCTCCCAAGTAGCTGGGACTACAGGCATGCACCACAATACCAAGCTAATTGTTCTAGTATTAGTAGAGAGGGGGTCTTGCTCTTGCTCAGCCTGGTCTCAAACTCCTGAGCTCAAGTGATCTTCCCCCCTCGGCGTCCCAGAGTGCTAAGATTACAGGGGTCAGCCACCTCACCCAGCAGAAAGGATCATTTTTAAAAGTTAGGAAATAAAGAAAACCATTCGTTTTTGTCTTGTGGGAGGGATAGTTAACAAACCCTTACCCCTTCTATGAGAATTTGACTTTGGTTAATTCTCTGGTTCTGTTCCCCAGGAAACAATGAAAAGTGGTGTTTTGTAATTAGGCAGTTTTGCTTAGGGTAAAAATAACTCAATTGGCACATTGCATTTGGAAAGGAAGAATTATAAATACCTGATAGGAAGCCAGTGACTCTAACCACTATCCCTTGTGGAGATTCTGGAAGGTGTGCTTATGGAGTTACTTCTAGAGATACAGGCTCCTGACATAGGGCTTTCTATACTAGGGTGATTCTCATACCTGATGTGAATCTTCTCCCTCCACCTGAGTTATGTAGACTCCTGTATGTTTTGATTTATCCTGGAAATAGACATATAATAACCAAACACATTCATAACCTGTTGTGAGGGGCAATTGTATAAAGTATTTTTGGAGATTTCTGCTCCTGACAAGATGGAGTAGGAAGACTTTTCTTTATCGCTCCTACTAAGTACAACTGAAAACTCTGGACATGATATATGAAACAAATATCATGTGGAAGAAGGCAGAGTGGTGATGAGAGGGAGGGGTATTTGATTTGTTTTGGCCTCATGTAACTCAAAG